AATAAGCGGTGACTGGAAGAGAAGTGGAATAGATGGTATTTTAAGAGACGATGCAGGTTCGATTTTAGGTTTTTTCCAGGAGGCTTTTGGTCCGGGTCCACCTACTTTGATGGAGCTAAAGGCTGTTCAGAAGGGATTATCTTTCTTTGATTCTTTTCAAGGGTGTATTAATGGTCAGTTGATAATTGAAAGTGATAGTAAGGAGGCAATGACATGGGTTAAGAATGTTGAAAAATGTCCATATGTATATGTAATAATTGTCAAGGATATTGCTGATAGGCTTAAACATTTGGAGGGTGTAATTAGATGGGTTGCTAGGTCAGCTAATATAGAGGCAGATGGCTTAGCTAAGGCTGGAATAGGCTAAGTAGAGTGTTGTTGTTAGGGGTATTTGTTTCTGGTTTTCGTGTTGTTTTGTAAGGGGACATTATTGATTTTTTTAACTTTATGTATCTTTTATATTATTAATGAAATCTAAGGCACTCTTTTCCTTCTTCTGCTGATTAAGAAGTTTCTCTACGAGCTCCATTAATCATGAAGGGGTTTTTTAACGAGGCCTTCACTTATAAAAAAATAGAACAAATTGTAAACAATTTTAAATTTTAATGCCAAAGTGGTCTAAAAAAGTTTAGGTACCACTTTGAGAACGATTGTCAACTTCAGGAGCCATACATTATATTAAGCCTCTTATGGCACTCCAATGTATATGTAACTATTCATACTATTTTGCAGAAATGGCTAGATCAATATTTACCACTGATATGAATTTGCTTTTTTTTCCCCCTTCATTTAAATGACTTGGCTTGCTTCGCTTTGTTATTATAGGAGAGAACATCTGTCTGATCCAAACAAGGAAGGGTTGTTTATGAATAGAAAATCCCAAGATGCTGCAGTTGGTGCTCTTGTACATATGCTGAAGAAAGCCCCTCCTCTTCGCCAAGACATCTCAGGTTCAATTAATTTTTCAGAAGTCTCGAGGCCAGAAATGTGTAATAACAACATCCAAGAGCAAAACCAGAACTCAGAGGCTGTGACCATTGAACATGTTGCCTCATCAATTATTGCATCTTTTAGGTTTGTAGCATCAATGACAACGGCCGATGCATTAGAGGAACTTCGGGGTTACAAAGAGTTAAAAGCCTTGTTGCTTAGTGAAGGTGGTAAGTCTTACACACCTGCCCCATTTGCCTCTGGAGCTAAGCATTCGGGCAATGGTACATGAGAATTGTCTTCTTCTATGATATTGGTATATTTACACATATGTGCAGCACTATGGTTTGAGAGATTACTACATGCTATATAGTTAAGGCATTTCCCCCTTTTTGTGACCGAATGAGTATGTGTATACACACATATATATGTATGAGTTAGGATCAACTTACACAATGTAGAATTTATTTTAGTTTTATATAGATTTAAGACCGTTGGATGAGTGAAAATAGACAGTTGAGATTAATTCATTATCTTTTTTTTCTAGTGAATATCTTCTCATTTCTTATTTTAATCTCAATCATCTATTTTCACTCATCCAACAATCATAAATATGTGTAAAACTAAGAAGTTTTATACTGTGTAATTGGATCATATCCCTATATATATATAATATAATTTTTAGGTTAAGATTTATGCTTACAATAGAGCTGTTATCCTTGGGCTGGAAAACTTAAAAAAGTACTTTTTGTCTCCTAGTGTGGCGGATGCAGGCTATACAGGCCCGCAGATATGGTGTGGTTTCTATTACTTTGTATTTCTCCTTTGATTCCTCTGCTGCATTTAGATTTTCAGTAGGATGCTTTAGCTTATGAGTTGCAGTTATAATCCATGTTATTCAATTCGGATTCTAATACAGTTATGTGCCTGCTATGAATGTATTTAATCACATAGAAGCTTTTTATAGGATCCTAGTCTCATACTTATAAGTCTGATATATTTGGAATATCATAATTATGAATTCCTAGCTAGATGTGCATCAGATTAATAGGGCTGTAAAAAGCTCATGAGCTTAATATTGTTAAGCTTGATTTGAACTCGAAAACACAAACTGAGGTTCAACTCGAAAGCTCGCGAGCTTAAAAATGTTAATCTTGATCAAACTTGAAATAAAAAATTAAAGCTCAAATTCGAGTTCAGTTCAAATTTGAACTCAAACTCAAACCTTAAGTATATGAAAATCTTGTATTGCATTTTTTTGAAATGATATATAAATGCTAATAAAGTAATAATTTAATTTAAAAATTAAAATTTTTAACATTATTTTTTTAAGTTGCTCACGAGTTTGTTTATTTGGGTATTAAGTAGTTTGTTTTGGTTAGTTAAAAACTTGAGTTTTTTTTATTTGAGTAGCTTGTAATATGTCTCGTCTCATTTGTAACCCTAATCATATACATGTGTTGAATAAAGATGCCTATAGGTAATTCAGGGATATATTATAATGCACCCTTTAACATTTATGTTCTTTTGTGTTGCATTTGTGATTTCAGCACATATCTAAAGATTGCAGGATGATTTTGTCAAATTTGAGTTAACAAGGATTGCACAACACACATATATATTTTATTATGAATACTTAAATATTTCAAATTATAATTTTAAATTAATTGTATAAAAATATGATTGGATAATAATTGATCGGCAATAACATCTATATAATGTATTAGAAATAAATTACATATATTATTTTAAATTATTTGAATTCATCAAATAACCTCGGTGATTAAAAAAATGTTCTTCTTCTTAAAGGTCTTAAATTCGAATAACTGTGTCTGTAAAATGTATGTGACTTCATGCGTATTAGTGTGTACGCTTTACAATTTTAGCCCAAAAAGAACAAAGGCATTTGTGGTGGCTGGATAAACCTTCATTCCGATAAAATATGATTTTTTAAACCACCAGTATCTAATTTATTAATCGATTAATTCGGGTTGGGTACTGCAGAGGTGAGAGTGACTTTCGCAATTCAGTTTGCTTCATTTGTAAACGTTAAGATTCGATCTCCTGACCTTGTTTAAGGAATTTAATATCTCATCTCACTAAATCAATTGATTGTTGCTAAATATGAAGATGTGTGACATTCCTTTCATAATATGGACTTGTATTTTAATTAAAATATTAAAATATAAATTTTTTGACGTTCCTTTCGGGATATTGATCTTTCAATTAAAGTTGTTCTCATTCGTTTGGACTTATATTCTATCTAATTAAAACATTAAAATATGAAGTTGTGAGGTTGCTTTCGGAATACTGATTTTTCATTCGTGGCTGGCAAGTGGCAAGGTAGAAATTAGGGTTAGAGTTTTAAGCTTGATTTTAGGGATTTTTATGTATTTGGATTTTTTTATAATTTCAGGAAAATTAGGTTTTTTAAATATTAATACCTTTAAGTTTTTTTAAAAAAAATAAAATTTTCATAATTATATAAATATGGCATGTGTTATTTAATAAGTTTTTTTAACGGTTGTTATAGCCGATGCACCTAAAATAATAATATTTATAACATTAGACATCTGAATTAATCGAAAAAAATTTAAATACCATTTTAAAGAAACGATATAATTTGAGCAATTATTATTATATTAAGCCAAAAAAATAATATGAGGCTGTGACGTTCCTTTAATTACGGTGAATGCTGTCCTCATGCACATTTGGCCACAAGGGTGGAGAATTTAATGAGTTGACTCCCAAGTCCTCCTCCTACGTAACTACGTTTTTAACTAAAATACAAAATTTTGACGTTCTTTTCGGGATATTGATCTTTCAATTAAAGTTGTTCTCATTCGTTTGGACTTATATTCTATCTAATTAAACCATTAAAATATGAAGTTGTGAGGTTGCTTTCGGAATACTGATTTTTCATTCGTGGCTGGCAAGTGGCAAGGAAGAAATTAGGGTTAGAGTTTTAAGCTTGATTTTAGGGATTTTTATGTATTTGGATTTTTTTTATAATTTCAGGAAAATTAGGTTTTTTTTAAAATATTAATATCTTTAAGTTTTTTTTTAAAATAAAATTTTCATAATTATATAAATATGACGTGTGTTACTTAACAAGGTATTTAACGGTTGTTACAACCGATACATCTAAAATGGTAACATTTATAATGTTAGACACATGGATTGACATAAAAAAATTTAAATACCACTTTAAAGAAAATCATATAATTTGAATATTTATTATTATATTAAGCCAAAAAAATAATATGAGGCTGTGACATTCCTATAATTACGGTGAATGCTGTCCTCATGCACATTTGGCCACAGGGTGGAGAATTTAATGAGTGGACTCCCAAAGTCCTCCTATGTAACTACGTTTCCCCCCCCCCCCTGCAAAATAAGCATTAACTATGGAAATTTTATTACGAGTTTACCATCATATTAGCGTTAATTACTCTAATTATAAATCAATCACCACTAAGTTTCCATCTCCCTCATTAAAAATTTTTGCATTTTTTCCTTACAGGCTTAATCGTTGAATCTCTTGATCCCGAAAAATTATTAGATGGACTCTTCCCACCACATCAGCAATGATTCTTAACTAATAATATTATGTCAAATAAGAATTAATTTTCATGTCATTCAATATTACATATGAATGCTCCATCACCCAAGAGGTCCTGGGTTTAATTCTCCTTTGCCCCCATTTCTTTGTTGATTTGAACTTGTAAGGCTAAGTTTGAATTCTACCATCATCACTCTTAGTGAACAATTTGTAAATTTTTATGTAAATCCCAATTAGGACTTAGGTATGCCTTGACCTTGGACTGGAGGAGATATCCTTGACCTAAACTTTTTAGTACAAAAAAAATTACATATGAATAGTCGGATGATTATTTTATAATTTTTAATAGTAAGTGGATATCATTTTTTGTAACAAAAAAGATTATTTTGGAACATATGATTAGTTAGACGATCATTTTATAACTTTGTGTACTTTACCCTAACATTTTTGAAGTCTAGATTGTCTAAATATCATTCATTTGTGAAACTCGTAACTTCTTCAACTTTGGTTGCGAAAAATAAAGGTGAAAATATTTTGCAAAGCAAAGAGGGCTTCTTTCTCATCTCCATCCGAAATATGGCTCATCTACTGTCACACATTCTCTTGCTTTTCGTTGTGGTTTCTTTACATTTTAATGTCATAGCTCAAGAAAACGAGCCCAATATTATCCTACCAGGTTCTATTCTATATGCCGGGAAACACCCGAGATCATGGCCCTCCCCTTCAGGCCACTTTGAATTTGGTTTCTATCGGCAGGGCAGTGGATATGCTGCAGGAATTTGGCTTGTCGGCCGCCCGGAAAACACCACTGTATGGACTGCAAATCGGGATGATCCGCCGGTCTCCGCTAGTTCTACTTTGGAGTTCACAGCACAAGGCACGTTGCTTTTAAGGACTGAGAACGGTGCACAGAAAATAATCGCGAACACTTCCAGCTCGGGGTCTGCTGATTCAGCTTGTATGCTGGACATGGGGAATTTCGTGCTCTACCAGAGCAGAACTGTTGTTTGGGAGAGCTTTGATTTCCCGACCGACACAATCTTAGGAGGCCAGAATTTAAGAAGTGATCATAACCTGTTGATTCCCAGTGTGTCAAGATCAAACTACGCCGGTGACCAGAATTTAAGAAGAGGTCATAACCAGTTGATTTCCGGTGTGTCAAGATCAAACTACGCCGGTGGCCAGAATTTAAGAGGAGGTGAGCCAAGATCAATCTACGCCCGTGGCCAGAATTTAAGAAGAGATCATAACCAGTTGATTTCCAGCGTGTCAAGATCAAACCACGCCAGTGGCCAGTTTTTGCTGAGCTTGCAGACTGATGGTAACCTTGTAGCCTATGTAAATAATTCTGCCGAACTTGATGCTAGTGACGCATACTGGTCCACTCGTAGTACTGGCTATCCTTTCTCTGTGTTAAATCTCAACACGAGAGGCGTTCTAACAATGTCTTCAGAATCAGATCACTACGGAGAAAGGCTTGTGGCGAATGGCTCTACAACTGGGAACCAAACGATGATCATCTATAGAGCAAGCCTTGATCCTGGCGGAATTTTCAGACTGTACTCCCATCAACTTGAAAACAATACCATCTCAAACATTTGGAAGAATGTGGATGATGCATGTGATGTTAATGGTCACTGTGGGTTGAACAGCTACTGCTCCAGCAAGGGTGACGATTTCGGGTGCTATTGCTATCCTGGTTTCACCTTAGAGAACACCAAAATCCAGAGCTGCTCTCAGAATTTTACCGTGGATGGGTGCGAATCAAGGAAAGATCTATTGATACAGTACAACATCACTACGTTGGAGAATATGGAGTGGGCTGGTGATCCTTATTCTGTGAAGCATAATTTGGACAAGGAAGAGTGTAAGAAAGCTTGCGAGGAGGAATGCTCCTGTGGTGGGGTTCTCTATTCTATCCCAAACTGCAACATGTTTAGACTACCGCTCAAATATGGTAAAAGACATGAAAATATAAACACTACAGCCTTCATCAAGGTGATTATCCGTTCCCCATCTGAAATCAGGCCAACATTGATAAACGAATCAAACCGAAGCCTGATTTTAACAGTGGGATTAAGTCTGGGTTCCGTTGCAAGCTTGTCTTTCGTGATGGCGTTGTGCAGCTTCTTGCTATACAGGCATAGAGTCAGAAGTTACGAGAAGCTTTCCGAAAATACAAGTCAAGTTTTAACCGAGCAGTTTACACTACGATCATTTACTTTCAATGAGCTAGATGAAGCAACACATGGCTTCGATGATGAGTTAGGTAGAGGCTCGTTCGGACCAGTTTATAAAGGAATTTTGCCAGGGGATGGTAAAAGTATTGTGGTCAAGAGATTGCCGAAAGTTAACGAAGGAGAAACGGATCATATTCGAACTGAGATGATTGTCATCGGAAGAACTAACCACAGGAACTTGGTTCGATTGCTCGGTTTTTGTATGGAAGGTTCAAGGAAGCTTCTTGTTTATGAATACTTGAGCAATGGCTCACTGGCAGACTTTCTATTCAACATGAATGGACGCCCAGTTTGGAAAGAGAGAGCCAGAATTGCATTGGACGTGGCTAAAGGTATTCTTTATTTACATGAAGAGTGTGAGACGTGCATCATCCATTGCAACCTCAAGCCCCACAACATACTATTGGATGATTCATTGACTGCAAAGATCTCGGATTTCGGATTGGCAAAGCTATTGAAGCCTAATCATACAAGAAGTACCTCTGGGACCAAAGGGACAGAATGGTACTCAGCACCCGAACGACAAAGCAGTGCATCGGTATCGGAAAAAGTTGATGTATACAGTTTTGGAGTGATACTATTGGAGATCATATGTTGCAGAAGCAACATAGAAGTAGAAGTTTGTAGTGCAGACGAGATACTGCTATCAACATGGGTATACAATTGCTTTGTTGGGGGAGAGTTGAACAAGCTTGTGGAAGGTGAAGAAGAGGTGGACATGAGAATGGTGGAAAGGTTTGTGAAGGTGGGGCTGTGGTGCATTCAAGATGATCCAACTTTGCGTCCACTGATGAAGAATGTGACCTTGATGCTGGAAGGAACAATGAATGTACTCATCCCTCCATCTCCATCACTTCCCCATGTTACTACTTAACTAATGTTGTTTTTTGGTTTAGTACTCGTCATAATTATGATTTTCATGTAATGTATGATGGTTTTTTTCTAATAGTTTGGGGTGATTATAAGATAATATCTGTTCAAAATTTTTGTTAGCCAATGATAACGTAATGTATGCTTGTTTTTTCTATTAGTCTGTGGTGATTATAAGATAATATCTGTTCAAAATTTTTGTTAGCCAATGATAACGTCTACACACACCCTATCGACGCAACTGCTTGGACACTAGTCCTTTAGCGAAAATAACACTCCCTTCTACCACTTAGATAACTCAATGAGTTATTTTATTTAATATAATTGAAGAATGTAATGTAAACTAAGAGATAAATTCTAGTAAAATAAATTTCTAATAGTTACAAAAGAGAAAACAATAATATAATGTCTTTCATGAAAATATAAATAATAATATCTATAAATTTCTATATAAATCCTAATTGAGTTTTATATATGTCCTGCCTGTGGACTGGAGAGCCACCCCTAATCTAAACTTTTATTTTACCAAAAAAAAAAGGAAATTTATACTATTTTTTTATAATATTTATGTTATACTTTTATAATATTTATGTTAATCATAAAATTATTTTATGCTATAAATAATTAGATCAATAATTGTGTTTGGAGTAGACTATCAATATGTGGGTGTGGTGCAAGAACTAGCAATAGCAAAGTTGTTCTCTCGCAACGAAGTGCTAAACACTTCCACATATTTGTTGGTCCTATCAATTAAATGGAAAGAGGAAAAAAAGACTTAATGTACGGTCGGTCAACCCAGAGCTGTTGCCAATCTTTTTCCATAGAAAACTCATTGGAGACCTCACCCATCTATTTGGTTACTTGGTGAAATTTTCATCATTCCTTGAATGAGTCCTAATATCATATTGATGAATGGAAATATTCAAGTTGTGTTAATTACAAATAAATCCTTGAACTTTTTAAATAATTCAATTTAGTCCCATACATGATTTTAAGCTAAGAATGCTTAATAATTGGTTAGTAAGAGAAATTGAATGATAAAATTGATTGATATGCATGATTTCATTTCTTATTTGGTTTCGACTGAATTTCGTGATATTTTCATTTAAACTGGATTGAGGGTGTTACAAAATCTATATTTAAACAAATATCACGCTCAAATTTCAAACTTAAGCAAGCTTATAAAAAAATTTATAGGTGGAAAGATACTACTTAAATATTTTTTTATTCTTATAATATTTTAAAATTAAGATAAAAATAAAATATATCTTTTTTAGTTAAGATAAAAATAAAATATATTTTTAAATTAAAATAAGAATAAAATATATATTTTTAAATAAAAATAGAATATATATTTTAAGTTAAAATAATAATAAATAATACTTAATAATTTAAGGTAAGAATATAATATATTTAATAATTTAAATTAATAATGTAATATATGTAATAAGTTAAGATAAAAATAAAATATATTTTTAAAAGTTAAGATAAAAATAAAAAATATTTTTTAGTTAAGATAAGAATAACATATATTTAATAAGTTAAGATAAAAATAAAATATATTTTAAAAAAAATTCAAAATGATGGTCAAAATAAAAAAGGGCAATAGTTAGGTAGTTAATGATATAGTTTACCATATATAGTAAGAAAATACACTATTTAAATTGTTATACTTTTATAATATTTATGTAAATAATTAAATTATTTTTAGGCTATAAATAATTAGTTCCATAATTGTGTGAGTAGACCAGCACTAACTGCGTGTGCAGTGCGCAAGAACTAGCAGGTAAATATTTCCACGTTTGTTGGTCCTACGAATTAGTCGGAAAGAGTAAAAAAGACTTAGTATACAGTAAACTCAGAGCAGTTTCCAATCTTTTTCCATAGAAAACTCTTATTCGAGACCTCAGCCATCTATTTGGACCAGTTCCAAATTAGAAGAGACACACACAAATTATTTCCCATGGCCTTGGTGTCGGCTCTTCTTTTGCTCCTTTCTTCTCTGTGTGTGCAGCAGTCAAGCAGCACCATTCCGTTGGGAGCTTCGCTTTCCTCGGCCACTCAAACAACCTCATGGACTTCGCCTTCTCGTCGCTTTGCGTTCGGTTTTTACAATCGAAGCAATGGCCATTATGTTGGAGTTTGGTTAGACGGCAATGGAAAGAAGGCTAACAAAGTTATATGGACAGCAAACCGTGATGATCCGCCCTTCACTTCAGATGCTACTCTGAAGTTAAATGAGAAAGGAGTGATTGTTTCGACGGCTGATAGCGGAGAGAAGATGTTTATTGCTAATGGAAACCAATCGGATGCCTACTCTGCCTCCATGCTAGATTCAGGCAATTTCGTTATCTACAACAAAGATAATCATATCATTTGGGAGAGTTTCCAGCATCCTACAGATACCATTTTAGGTGGTCAGAGTCTGTTAAATAATAGCCAGTTGATCTCCAGTTTATCAGAAAATGACCCCTCAGCTGGAAGGTATCGTCTCCGTATGCAAAACGATGGGAATCTTGTTCTATACCCTCTAGAATCCGAAAACTCTCCTAAAACTGCCTATTGGAGATCAAAAAATTATGTGACGAATGTGGCGAATTTGTCGCTTCGCCTTCACTCGACAGGCGTCCTACAACTCATCAACAACATTGATTCGTCCGTCTACGGAACAATTCCTTTAGATTATCAAGAGGAGAGCTACAGTGACTTCACCGAGAGCAGCAGCAACAACAACAAGAGTATTGTTTACAGTGCAAGCCTTGATGTTGATGGGAATTTCCGGTTATATGCTCATGTGTTTGAGCCAAATGGTGGATTCCAAACTTATGCAATGCGGCGTGCGTTGTTAAATTCCTGTAAAATTAAAGGCTTTTGCGGTTTCAACAGCTATTGCACCTTCAATGATAACCGGCCTTTCTGTGCATGCCTTCCCGGGACTGATTTTATCGATCCTAATCAGAACACCATCGGCTGCAAAAGAAATTATTCGGAAGCGCACTGCAAAGGAGGGAAGGCCAATATACCCCTTTATAACATCACCTCAATGCAAGGTATAGAATGGACTACGGGTACATTTTACAGTAAAGAGCGACTGAGCAAGGATGCCTGCATCCGAACATGTCTGGAAGACTGCAATTGCGAGGTAGCGCAGTTCGATAAAGGAGTTTGCAAGAAACAAAATCTTCCACTCAGGTATTTGCTACGAGATATCGATGCTCAAATGAATCCCACTGTTTTATTGAAGGTGGGAATCATAAGCCTTGAAGCACAAAACGACACTACTTCCCCTGATTTAAAGCCACCGCAGTTCCTAATCAAACGGGAAATTTCGGTCGTGCAGATTCTTGTTTTATCTTCCATTCTCGTTGCATGTTCATGTGCTTTGCTTACAACCTCAGGTGTATTCATCTATAAATTTCGAGTTCTAAGATACAAAAGGCTGCTGGAAATGGGAGATTTGGGCCTAACCAGAGAGCTTATGTTGACGTCGTTTTCATACAATGAACTCAAGAGAGCCACAAATGGATTTAAACAAGAGTTGGGTAAGGGATCGTTTGGAGCAGTCTACAAAGGAACTCTAGACCGAGGAAGAAAGCTGATCGCCGTGAAGAGACTGGAAAAGTTAGTGGAAGAAGGTGAAAAAGAGTTCCAAGCAGAAACACGAGCAATCGGTAGAGCTCACCACAGAAATTTAGTTCGACTATTGGGATACTGTGTCGAGGATTCCAAAAGGCTTTTGGTGTATGAGTACATGGGCAATGGATCCCTTGCAGACCTAATTTTCAAGTCAACAAGGCGCCCATCTTGGAATGAAAGGAGGAGAGTAGCCCTAGATGTTGCTAGAGGACTCCTCTACTTACATGAAGAATGTGAGACACCAATCATTCACTGTGATATAAAGCCGCAAAACATATTGATGGATGATTCATGGAGAGCTAAAATTTCAGACTTCGGGCTGGCAAAACTGTTGATGGGAGATCATACAAGGACATTCACAGTAGTGAGGGGAACTAGAGGGTACATGGCACCAGAATGGAATGGAAACACTCCAATCTCGGTGAAGGCCGACATTTACAGCTTCGGAATCGTGCTACTGGAAACGGTGTTTTGCCGACGAAACTTGGACACCAATGTGTCAAAACCAGAGGAGATCATTCTGTCGAGACTGGTGTATAGATGTTTGGTTGAAAGAGAGGTGGATAAGCTTGTGGGTGATGAGCAAATGGACAAGGAAAACTTGGAAAGAATGGTGATGGTGGCACTCTGGTGCATTCAAGATGAACCAGCTCTTCGTCCTTCAATAAAGACTGTAGCTATGATGCTGGAAGGGATTACTGATATATTTATTCCTCCATGTCCAAGTGCTTCCTACATGTGATGTGATGGCCCAGACATCAATCATCTCACTCAAACTGCTCTTGCAGGCCCTGAATGTATGTAAGGATTGCATCATGTTTGTGTTTTCTTTTATTTGTCAATAAATCTGTAAAATTCTTTGTGCAGTGTACGTCGCCCGTGGTTTGTAGCTGTGGTAATTGTATTGGAGTTGGCTTCTTTCAGTTAATTTATTATTACTCAATAATATATATACAAGTGTGATATTTCATTTTATCCAACCCGTTTAATTTATCTACCCTTGGTTTTTTTTTATTAATCTGAGATAAGTATAAGACAATATATGTTTAAAGATAACTTTCAACCATTTGATATTGAACACCTATTTATTCTCTCATTTTAGTGTATTAAGAGATAAAAACACCCATTTTAGTGTCCGGAATAGAAATTTGCTGACCAAAACTTCTAGCCCTTTCCATTTCCTTTCGAGGATTAAGAGATTTCAACCTATTGATATTGATTTTCAGAATATATGCGATTGGATCGATAATGGTTTTAATTCATATTTATTTGATAATTAGGATGTACTCTTTCATTTTCGTAAACGAATCTATGTATATAATAATTGAACACCTATTTATTCTCTTATTTTTGGTCTATTAAGAGCTAAGAACGCTCATTTTAGTGTCCGAAAGAATAGAAATGTTCATTTTCATTTTCATTTTTATCCGGATGATTTCATTTTTATCCGGATGGTTTCATTTTATCCAACCCGTTTAATTTATCCACCCTTGGTTTTTTTTATTGATCTGGGATAAGTATAAGACAATATATGTTCAAAGATAGTTTTCAACCATTTGATATTAAACACATATTTATTCTCTCATTTTGGTGTATTAAGAGATAAAAACACCCATTTTAGTGTCCGGAATAGAAATTTGCTGACCAAAACTTCTAGCCTCTTCCATTTCCTTTCGAGGATTAAGAGATTTCAACCTATTGATATTGATTTTCAGAACATATGCGATTGGATCGATAATGATTTTAATTCATATTTCTTTGATAATTAGGATGTACTCTTTCATTTTCGTAAACGAATCTATGTATATGATAATTGAACACCTATTTATTCTCTCATTTTTGGTCTATTAAGAGCTAAGAACGCTCATTTTAGTGTCCGAAAGAATAGAAATGTGTGGTATACATTTATATCACTTTTGATATGGGTATTATCTATCCTCTATATTAGTTAATAATAAATTAATCTTATTTGGTAGTTTTTTACTATTCAAAAGATTAAATTTAGATTAAGAAAATAAATAAATATGATTTATTTTAAATAATAATTACTTTTACGTGGATTTTGTTGTTTTTAAATTTCAAATTAAAATTTATAATAATAATTTTTTATACTATGACAATATTCTAAAACTCGTTCTTGTACTAATACCTCTATAGTGCATCTTCCTTTACCTATAAACTGCATTTTCCTCATCTATTGGATGGTGATCTTTTCCTTCCCGATATGGTTAGTTATTTCAGATAAAATAATGCAAGGGTTGGTCTCCCTCATAACCTTAATCTCATTGCCTCTCTTTTTTTCCCTTTATCCTACATAAGCTTTTTTTGTCCTCTCGATTATGTAAGAATTTATCTTGATTAATCTGAATCGATCCTTATTGTATACTTAATTTTGATATATGAGTTTTCAGACAAAGATTTTCTACATACAACTTAAAAAAATATAATTAAGAAAAGAAAGAAGAGGGGACAATTCTGGAACAATTTCTAACATGCTGCATGTTTCATGACTGGACAATTCAAATGAATACATTTAAATCAAATGAATACTTATTTTATATATATATATATATATATTTCGTCCTGACTAATTCGGATCAATCAATGTTACATACCTGACTTTGGAGAATAAGTATTATAGCAGAGATTTTTTGTATATACAAAAGCTTGAACTTAAGACCTTACTTAAGTGATATCAAATTGATTACTACTTGAATTAATCCGTGTTGGTAATACTTAGGGTGCGTTTGGTTCACGGAATGTAAGATTACCGGTGGGAATAAAATTACCAGTGGGAATAGGATTACCAGTGAGAATAGGATTACCGGCAGGAATAAGATTACTGAGAATGTTGTATTTTATGTTTGGTTCGTTTAGCAGGAATGTAATATTATATTGTTTTGTTAAAGGAATAAAAGATTATTGGAATGTATATTTTATTAAATTGTCCTTATTATATATTTGTTTTCTAAAAAAATTAATTCTACTATAATATTACTATAATTAATTTATATATTTTCTTTAAAAATTTTAAATTCATAAAATTTATATAGTTTTTTTACAAAATTGAAAAGATAAATAGGTTTAATGATATGATAAAATTTTGTTTTAACCATGAATTTCATATTAAATTCTAATTGTAGATTTTTTTTGTAAATCTAAAATAGTTTAAGGATAAATTTATAATTTAACTTTCGTAGAATTTTTTTTATTCAACGATAAAATAAAGAATTTTTTGGAAAAAAAATTTGAGGACATTTTAGTCTAAAACGTCGGTAATCCAACAATACCTAAGAGATGAGATATTCACATTCCCGGTAATATATCCTCAAAATATCACTGTTAGGAATAAAATATTATCGGAGAATAAGATTACTAACCAACCAAACAAAAAAATGACATTTCATTCCTTTAATAATCTAATATGACGTGAACCAAACACCACTTAATATAATTTGAGAATTCGGATAACATGAATACCGGCCAGTGATTAGATTTTCCATGGAAAGCAGCAATGGCTACTTTTCTGGCTGCTGAAAAGATAAATTGACCTTTCTGCAATATTAAAAAGGTTATACGTTGAGCTACACAACGCATAGTGGGCGGAAGTTATACAGTACAATAGTATTAATATACAATTAAAAAAATATGTGTTATCAATTTTATTATTATTTTTATTATAAAATCGATAAAACATTACCTAAAGTGTTTTTATTTCTACCTAAATATTAATATTTTTTAATGCCCAATAATAATAAAATCAATAAAAATAATAATGTTTTAAGTAATTTTTATCGGTTATGTTAAAAAAATAAAAACAAAACCAATAACACATTTTTTGGAACCAACTCCTTGAGCCATCTGAACCAGAAAAACACTTGGAAACTATATATGGCAACTTCAGTAACATCCACCCATTTCTCCCAGGAGTTGCTTCAAAGCTTCCATTCAAGAAAATTTATTTTACACTCCTCTCTTTACCCGGCAATTTCCCCAGCTCAAGGGCACAGCTATTCCATCAATGACATCATCCATACAAATGCAGCCATTGTTCTCCTCCTAGCCCTCGTTTGCACCATCATTTCCGCTTCAGGGTTGTTTTGTATGGTCAAGTGTGCAACTAGAGGCTCAGTTTCTGCTGCTGCTGAGCCCAAGTTAGCCAATAGAGGAGTTGAGCAGAAAGCCTTAAATTTCTTCCCGGTCGTAAAATACGCAACCGAACCGAAACGGCCGGGCCTCGGCACCGCTTCTGTTATATGCTTGTCGGAGTTCACCGCCGGGGAGGGTCTCCGTAATTTGCCAGAGTGCAACCACGGATTTCATATTAGTTGTATCGATACATGGCTTGGTTCACATTCTTCGTGCCCCACACGCAGGCACTGCCTGACTGAAACGAACAAGATAAATATGGAAAGCTGCAGCCAGTGGAACAGTGAACTAAGTTTGCACAAGGGAAATGCAATGTGGCTGTGGTAAAGAGAAAGCATTATTAAAAGAAATGATTAAATATGAAAAGCGACGAACACGTTCGTCAAGGAACATGATTATATGAATAGTTTAGAAGCACTTTACAGTGTCATGAAACAGTATCTAGCAACGGCAACTAAAGCAAAAGAAATAAACAAGTATTAATGTTAACTCTGGTATAACTGAAGTGAACGGTGATACCTACAAACAATTGTTTTTGTCTCCGCTAATAAAAACACTTATTAAGAGTATCCACTAAAAGGGCTACAAAACATCCCCTATAACTACAAAATGAAAATCACATGACAAAAGTTAACATTATCTAACTAATTTATCATACTGAAAAAAAAACTAGATCACAATGAAACTCAATTGCAGCTATATATATAACTTTACAACTAATTTAAAACCATTAACTAACCGCTCCTAACAAATATAACTAATTAACTATTTCTTAACACTTCTCCTTAAATTGGTGGGTGATATACATCTTTTACCCCCCAACTTGAATAACAAATATTTATGCCGACTAAATTTAAGATCTTTGGTTTCGTATATTGGTTTGTTGATCATAATGAATTCTTATAAAATTATTTTGAATGTTTTCTCGTATAATATGATAATGTATCTCTACATATTTTTTGTGTTCGTGATAAATCAGATTAGCTGCAATCTGTAATGCTGCTTGATTATCAAAAAAATACCATTGTTATATCATCGTGTTTCATCCCTAGCTCATTAATCAAACCTTTCAACCACAAGAACTTGACTATTGTTGAAGTCATTCCCTTATACTCGATTTCTGTCGATGATCTTCACACAACATGTTATTTCTTTAACTTTCAATATACTAACAATTCTCCCATCTTCGTACAGTAATTTGTTACAGATCTTCTTATCATAGGACATGATGTCCAATCAGAATTACAAAATACATTTAGTTGAGTCTTGTTGCAAGAAAGATGCCTTGGTCATTATTTTTCCTCGTATACCTTATGACTCAAAGAGTTGCCTCATAATGCAACTTCTTAGGCCTTTGTATGAACGAGATCAAGTGTTGGACAATATATGTTATTTTTGGTTGGCTATGTGTTAAACAAAGTAAATGACCAATAAACCGTTGATACATCCCAACATCTTCAAGGACTTCACCTAGTGTCAAAGCCTTTGTTGCTTCATCGTATTCAACCGTGATCATGAGCTTTTGATTTTGTTCAAATGGGATTTATGTACACCGTGTTCCCTTTAAACCTAAATCAGCTACAATCTTCAAGGCATATTTTCACTGATTCAACCCAATGCCTTTCTTTGGTCTAACAACCACAATACCAACAAATTATTTGAGATAACCAAGATCCTTCATCTTAAAATTCTGATGAAGAATAGTTTTTAGCTCAACTATTAAATCACCATCATTCCCCATGGTCAAAAGACCATTAACATAGACTAACACAAATACTAGTTTATCTTTTTTTCACTTTGTCAACATAGAATAATAACGTAGACCCTGTACATAACACAAAAGCTTTCATCAGTTTCTAATTCCATTGACCCGATGATTGCTTTAATCCGTACAAAGATTTAAGCAACCGAAACACACATGTCTCCCTATGGTTGTGAAAGCCTTCTCGAAGTATCATGTAAACTTCCTCATGTAGGTCATGTTGTAGAAAAACATTAAACACATCCATTTGGATAGAGACTAATCAAACATAACATTTAACTTCTCAAACTTGATCACCATCAGATGAGCCTAAGATGTTATATTGGGCTACTGAAGAAATCAATAAATTTAAAATATTTTTCTATTTCATTTTTAAAATATAATATGGTTTATCAAAATACCACATTCATAATCGTTATAAAATATTTCTAAAATTTTAAATTCCATGATATATAGTTTAAAACAAATTAATATAACCTAAATCTCTTAGTTTACAATCTCAATACATGTATAAGGATCTTATGAATACAATATCCACTAAAAGTAATAATACAATACTTTAGAGGAGGATGTTGGAAATCATATTACGACAGTGTTTCTCGTATAAGCTCAAGCTATTAACCCACAAACGGAAACATTCAAACGCTGAGCCTTACAAAGCTCCATGGTATATCGTTAACCTACAATATCCATCATAAATCTCATAAACATAAACATACTAGCTGAAATAACGATAAAAAATAAGTACATGAATGATTCATAAATCCAAGCGCTACATGCTTAAGGTTTATTCATTTCTTTCACAATAATATTAGTCTCTTTTCCTTAGTCCACAACTAAAGTCCTAGTCATGAACATATTTTTATCTCTAGTCTCAACAAATACAAGTCATACATCATCACATGCATATACACAATTATAGAAATCACTTTCACAATAGCAATCAGGTACTAATAATTAATGGGGGAACCCGATGTCACACATGCCTTGGTATAATTTCCATTAATCATAACTAATTATATCTTGGTCTCACCATAGCCATCAGATATAGATCATAGAGGGAACTTGATCTCACATATGTCTTAGTATAATTCTCGTTCACAATACTTATATCAATGGCTCGGTGTCACAATAACATTTAAACCAAGTGACATAGATATCCAATAATCATTATCACACACAATCGCAACTGTATAGGTGCACATATACCACTTTCATCAATTTTCTTACAATGTCAATCAAGCTTAACTAACCTTAACTCTTTAATTTTTGAGGAAGAAATTGTGATTAAACTCACCCCCTTAACTCTTTATCTCTCTCATGACAAACATGAAAAAATAAAGGAGAAATGATGAAGATGTCATAAAGGAGGTTTGAAAATGTGGGTCAAATATGTAATTAAAAAAATAAAAAAATAAAAAATGAAATATTTTGATACAAGTAATCCTATAGCCATCAACTATACATGACATCCCCATGCTCCTATATGAGTATTGAATTTCGGAGAAAAATGATTAATCACCCATATGGTCCTCTAATTTTTACTCAACTCTCAAGAGTTTATAAAAACTTTCAATTACTTTAAGAAAGGCCTCAAAGCCTATTAAATTGAGCCCAAACATAGTCCAGTGAAACTCAAACCATAAATAAATCATCCATCATTAACCCGAGTCAACGTTTAAACATTGACTCAAAAATTCAAGTCATTGTATTTGACAACCTCACTATGACAATAGAAATGGAAATGACAATAGAAATGGAAATGACAATAGAAATGATAATAAAAATGGCAATGATAATGTCTAGAACATTAAAGTCAGTGTATTTGACAACAATGAACACTATTGTAAGGGAATCAATCACTGTATTTGACATTAACTTTTTTTATCAACCAATTGGAATATTTGTGAGATAGTAAGACTACAATGGTGGAGCAAGAAACTCGCAATCACAAACAAAAGTAACATAAAACCAACAAATGATGGCAAAATCAAAAGAAGAATGATTGAAAACTTATCCATATATAGTGCTCTTCAATTTTGGAAAAAAAAAATAGTAACAAATGAAGTTTTGAAACACATATGGATGTTTTTCACGAAATAAATTTATTCGAGATGATTATAAGATAATATTTATTTAAAAAATTTAATGTAAAAAAATCGTAACAAATTCAAAAAAGGTTTCACCAAAACTTTTGCAAAAAAAAAAATGAATTTTTGGAACATAGATAGTTATCGGTGTTTTTCACTAAAATTTTTTTTGAGATGATTATAACATAATACTTATTTAAAAAAATCTTAATTATTAATAATATATAAGCAATTATCAATCTAAATCAATCTCACTTATAGACTCCTGGATAAGATAACAAATCTCCAGTCCTAATCGCGTCCAAGTACATAGATTAAGAAATTTTGACCTTTAACAATACTAAAAACAATCTAATTTCAAATTATTGTTATGTTGTTGATAAATTCAAATTCATTTTTTAAAGATAATATTATTAAAAAAGTAATTATAAATTTTAAATATAAATCATAAGATAATTATGAGAATATAATAATAATAATAATAATAATAATAATAATAATAATAATAATAATAATGTTCCCAGTTACTAAATTGTATGCGTCATTTAATCACATATGTGGCAATTGTATGCATGACCGTCTACTGACAAATGATACGTGTGCTTTAAATTTCGATATATATAAGCATAAACACATGTGCTTTAAGCCTATTAGAATTCATACAGGAATTTATAGATTTGACTAAAAAAAGTTTTGGCATTTATATTGCTTTTCAGTACAATACAATAAAAATGTTATTAAACTAATTTTCTTTTTAAGATCTGTATCCTGATAAAGCTTAAAATTAATGCCAACTTAACTTCTAATGAATTAAAGAGGATAAAATGTAGGGTAAACTATAGGTATGTTTAGTATCTTAATTATCTTTTTTATTAAGTTCAGTGAGAAAATTGAAAAAATTTAAAATATAGTGAATGAAATAGGAGAGAGTAAAGTTCAGTTACCAAATTTATAATTTATCTTAAAAAATAATTGGATGACCAAAATAAAATAAAAGTGATAGTTAGGATACTAAAAGTGTAGTTTATTCTAAAATATATTGGTACTCATTTCCTACTATATGCCCCAAGTTAACCCTGATTACTCCCAAAAACAATTCATTTTAAAACTAAAAAGATTATAATTCTCAAAATTCAAAACTCTGCCTTTTCTTAATTTATATATATAAAAAACCCCTACCTTTTCTCATATATAAATTCACCTGTGCAAATGAATTTAACAATCTAAACTCAACCTAAAATACCCGGACCCTGCCAAAACTATGTCCGTTGCCACATCCACTCAACATGTTCAAGATTTTCTAGGAGAATTCCACTACTTTAGAAGGTTTCTTCTGTATACACCATGATGTGATCCTGTCCAGCTCCAATTTTCTTCATGACTTAATCACATCATGGACGTTTTTCACTACTATTTTTAAGGGATTTCTTTCTTACCTTACCTTTTATTATGTCGTTTTTACATTATATTCTATCATAATCATGCATTCACATGTTAGTGTAAATCATTATATCATTCATTCCATCCTATGCTTAGTTGATTATGTTTTTCATATCATTCAAATCTATGCTATGAATACATATCATTTCTTAGGATATTATTATTACATGTTTCCATTTATCATTTATTATGAACACCATGTTAAATGATATTCGGTACGCATTGTTATTTATTTTAAGCATGTTAGAATAAGTCTTGCATTCATATTTAATTATTTGTTAGCTCATTAGCATTTATCATATTAGCATACATGCATTCGTGTAACTCATTGTTTTCATTTTAACACGTATAATTTTTCACGTTTTGTTTATGTTTTGCATTCATCTAAGCATATTTTAATACATATCATCATGTAGCACGTCTTGCACTCATATTAAACAAAACAACATGTTTATCCTTTATTTTAATTAACTCATGTGTATTCCCATTGTTAAACACGTCTTGCACTCTTATTCAACATGACAACATGTTTTTCATTTAATTATAATTACCATTCATGTGCATTCACATTGATAAGTACGTTTTTGCATTTATATTCAACATAACAACATGTTTATCATTTGTTTTGTTAAATTCACGTGCACTCACATTTACATAACAGCATGTTCATCATTTGTTTTTGTTAATTCACGTGCACCCACATTCACTTTACAGCATGTTTTTCATTATCACTCATGTGCACTCATTTGAGTTTTAAGATTTAAATATTTTTAGTTATTATATAATGCATTCATGGCTCAATATGGAACACACATGCACGGCAGCAAGGTGAGTGATTCATTCTAGCACATTTCATTTAAACACTTGCTTATCATCTTCTTTGCACATGTAGGCACGTCAAAATAGCATGGAACACATTGTTGGAACATTATAAAGAAGCACACCAATCAGTAGAGCATGGGACACGATGATATCAATATGTTCAAGCATTTTTTGGAAGCTGACGCACATGCTGGACAGTTTTGAGCACTTGGAAAACACACAGCTCACAAAAACATGGAAACAAAGTTTATGGGAACATGATACACGTATGTAACAGCCTGGATAAGCATTATAAAGACATAAATAAGTCCTTGGATCATGAAACACGTTGGAGGACACAAAAACCAGCTGAAATCAGACCCATACTTTGCTGACTAGATTATCACTCACGTATGTTGGAGGGAACCCATAATGCTGCACATGTTTCCAGCATTTATTCTTGCACCAAAATATTATCCATCAAAACAGTCCATGTGCGTGAATAATATGCTCCTCTCCACTACCCAACCATGTGCGTGAACCAACTTAGCAATTACTTGAAGGATCATACGTGCTGATCAGCCAAGGAGACATACTTTGAAAACAGCCCATGTGCTTGGCACTAAGCTGGATGTTGTCTCCACTTAAGCATCAATTTGAAGGAACGTGAGTATTACCTGGCCATGAAGAGTTGTCTCCATTTTACATCGAATCATCACCTGAATTCATGGAGAATTATGAACTGGAATGTATTATTTGTTAGACGTAATAGCTGGCCAAAAATACTATGTGTTATTCGGCTAACATTTGAAACAAATTAAATAAGCTTGTAATTTCATTTTGCAAATCAGAATTTGATGAATTAAAACTGTTGTGAGCAATTTGGTTCTTCTTAGAACTATCTTCTTGACATTTCAAGTCTGATCTTGTTGTATCGATCCTTTGATACTTTGGGTTCTTAGATTTCTATCTAACAGGTCCAAGTCCTTGAACATTGAACATATAAGGTTCGGGTTTATACTTGTTAGTATAGGTTCTTCCTTGTTCTTTGTTATTATCCAATTTCCAGCATCCTAAATTCCATTACCACATCTATCATTCATCCTTCCTTAATCAATTTCGTTCATAGCCATATCCATATAACACCACCATCTTCATTACTATCAAGTAATTTTGCTGTAGAGGAATTGCTTACTTCGTTCTAGATCCGATACAATCGAAGAGGTCCTGGCTGACTCGTATTACACCATATGTTCAAACACAACCAAGCCCTGAAAACCTCGTCTGTGCCGTAATTTGCTCACTTGGACTCATTTCCATCATCAGGTTAGCATTGAGGTTTCTGAGTTTATTGGCCTCGGAACCCCGGTTAGCAAACACTTACACAGGGGTCAAGCGAAAAGCATTGAAGACCTTTCCAAAAGTGAGCTACTCGACCGAGTTAAAGCTGCCGGGTTTGGACTCTGAGTGTGTGATATGCCTTTCGGATTTCACACCCAGTGACCGCGTGCGGCTGCTACCCAAGTGCAATCATGGGTTCCATGTTGGATACATCGACAAGCGGCTGAAGTCTCATTCATCTTGCCCTAAATGCAGGCACCGCCTCATCGAGACATGCGAAAAGAGTCTCATCGGAACCGGCTCCACCGCCGGAAACCATTTTGAACTTACCGATATTAGCTCCTGAAGGTTTCATAAACAGCTATAGGTAAATTAGCTTAGCTTCTTTTTATCTTTTACTCTCCTCGGTCAACTGTGCCATGTGTTCAAACTTAAACAAGTTTCTTGTTTAGTAATCAATTACAAGTTAACTTGCATATATATATATATATATATATATATATATATATTCATAAAAACTTGCATTTATCTTTTTTCCCTCGCTTCTTTTGTACATATATCTCTTGCATATATATATATATATATATATATATATATATATATATATATATATATATATATATATATGTGTGTGTAAATTAAACAAAAAGCAAAAGGGTAAGGCAATTTTGATTAGAAAATCATTAAGAATAGTAATAAATCATTAAGATTTGTGGTAGATGAGTATGAATCAAACGATCTTAATAGTTAAAGAATAATTGTTATTCTTAGAAATCTCAGGTTCATGTACCAACTACTACATATGAGTGTTCATTATTAAATGATTGAGAGTCTTTAGAATATATGTTACGACTTGTAAACACCCTAGATTAACCAAAAAAGATTAATTTTGTAATGATAAAATACATTATATTTTCAAGTAAAAATTCACATTCAAATCTTAGAGATGAGATTGTTGAAAAGATAATAATAATAATAATAATAATAATAATAATAATAATAATAAATTTCACTAATAAGTGATTTGTAAAACCTTTTTTTTCTAAAATGTTTACTATTTAAAAAGTATCATTCACTTTCATGAATAAATAATATTCTTATACAAATAACGATTCTCGGAAATATTTTTTTAATGTTAAATTTGAGAGGATTGTTATTTATTTATTAGGTTTTAGTAGACGAGTTTATAATAAATTAACTTTATTTTGTAATTGTTAGTTATTCACATGATTTTTTTATTAATATAATGTAAGTATAAAGGTGTTATATATTCAAAGTTAACTCTCAATTATTTAATATCATTGACATTCATGCTACTCGAACTTGAAATCAAAAGGAACAACAATTCATTTACATTGAGGTCACTTGATTCGTACTTATTCACATGATTTTAATTTGAATAAAGAGAAGAAATATATATTACTATTCTGAATATATATTATTATTTTTATTTAAATTTATAATTATCTTTTAAATTTTAAATTTAGATTTACATTGACCCTTTTTTATGTTACAATAAATTATTTTAAGAACAATAAAATAATTAAATATTTCCTTATGTTAATAACCTAACCAAACTCAGTATAAATGTGATTTTTGTATGCAATACAAAGTCTAAGAACCTCGCAGTCGGCTGCTCTGGTAAAAATGTTTTTAAAAACTTATTAAAATATTTCCTCTAGTATTGTACAGTGTATCTCATAAATTTTTAATATAAAAAATTATCAAATTTATTTCTAGAAATGAATTTTAAATTTAATTTTTAGAAAATATCATTCTAAAATTTGTAACAACAAAATTGCGTTTTCATCATTTATCAAGTATGAGCAATATGAAAAATTAATTAGAAAACAAATATTAGTCTGCGTAGTGTGGGTGCGGACTGTTCACATGGAATAAATGCTCATGACTTTTGTTATTCATTTTCTTCACATTACTTGTCATGTGTAGGAATATTGCGACAATCAAACACTAATTAGGATATAATAATATTAGCAGTATAGCCAACCTGATATATGTAATTTCAATAACTTGTAAATTAATTTAGGTGATATATATTCAGAACATTTTATTTATTTAATAATTAATATATATACTATGAATTACAATTGTTTAAAGTCAAGGTTTCTATAGAGAACAACCATCCTTGTAATCATTGAGATCTATTTCATTGTTACCAAAATTCTTGTGGATAAGTACTATTAATTAATTGGTTTAGTGACATGAGATATTAGATCCCTTAAGCTTAGAAATTCAAATATTGAAGTTGTGAACGTAACAAATTGAGTTAGAGGGTCACCCTTGTGATAAACTTTTATAGTATTCAATCTAGATTAATCGTCCAATAAATTAGATACATGTAATTAAATAAAAATAGTTATATCCATATCCTATTAACATAGTCATAATTCATAATGATTAAAAACACCAGCTAACATCACTGTAGGCATTGATAGACTAAGGAGAGACAACTAGGGATATGCACGAGATCTAGATCTGATGAGTTCCAACTCGACCTGATTTTATAAGATAAGATTTAAAAAAAAATTGATTCAGGTTGAATCGAATTTTGTAGAGCATATGTTCAGGTCGGGTTCGATTTTAAGGTAAAAAACATCCTACCCGACCCGACCTGACCCAAAAAAAATATAATTATATCTTATATTTTTAGGAAAAAATACAATAATATCTCTCTCTATAATTTTTTAATTAGATTTCTAATTTTTATTAAATGTTATAAATATATTTATTTCGAATGAGATTCAAGTTTAATCTTCAAAAGGCGGGTTGGCTTCGAGTCAAGTGAAATCACCTTAAAACTGGTTCATGTCTGGTGAAGGGTGCATATTTTTCGTGTCGGGTTACTTGAAAATCCGACCCATGCCCATCCTTATGGACAGCATAGGACAATCACCTCCCTAAAATTCAAGTCATCACATGTTTTAGATATTATCTTTATATTTTGTATCGGTAATCTATTTACACCCTTAGAATTTCATAAATTCATCCCTCCTAAAATTTTAGAAGTTCGTCTCATAACATAAAATCATACATCCATCCCATAACATAAAATCATACATCCATCCCTGACTGTAGGCAAAAGATGTTGGGTAAGCATCTAAATTAGTATATATTATAATATTGATAAAAAAATATTGCATCATTGTACAATATTTTGAAATTTTCTGATTTTAAAGGCGTCAAATAATTATTTAATATGTGTCGTAATCGGTTTTTGTCCGTCCACGAAATTTTACTTGGCGGGAAAAATAATGTGGATAAAAATGATTTTTTTTTAAAATACATGTTTTGGGAGTCGCCATTGACCTTTTGGGTTTAGGTAGGTCAAATACAAAAAAACAATCTTTTAAAATAGTTTTGAATAAAACATAATTTAAAAGATAAAATTGATCTGCGTATAACCAAAAATTTTAGTAAAATAGGATTCGTGGTCGATTACGTTTAGGGGAAGATTAGCACCCCTATAACTCCCAAAATTTGGTACTCATTAATTATAAATTGTCTCTATCATTAGAATTTTAATTATTCAAAAATATATTTAATTTATAATTTTGTCATTTCAAATTTATTAGTATAATTTAAAGAAAATCTATTAATTTCTATTTAAATAAGATATTTATTTATTTAGAAATATCAGAAAAGGACTTCTAGGTGTTTTAAGACAGCTCTTTTCTTCTATATAAAAAATAAATATTGTGAAATATTTCTTTAAAAATCAATATATATTTTATAGGATAAAAAAATCAGAAAACAGACTTCTAAGTGTTTTAAGACAATCTTTTTCTTTAATATTATTAAAATAGGATTATTATTATATTTTTTTAATAAAAAATAACTTATAAAAAATAAATAAATAAATATTATTTATTATATGTATATATTTATAATGATAATAATAATAATATATTGCAAATAAACATATAAAATTAAATCAACAACTAAAATAAATGAAATTAAAACTATATAATAAAAACTAATAATTTTAAAGCTAATGACTAAATTGGAATATATTAAAAATAAATATCTAATTCGTAATTAACTTATTAAAATTTCAGTGTCTAATCATGCTATTTTACATATTTATTAATTTAGTGACTAAATTAAAATTATATTAAATTCGAATATTAAATTAAAACAAATTAAAACATGCTGATCGGGACTAAAATATTAATTAATAAAGTTACAAGGGCTAAATCGATTATTTGCCTAAAATATATATATTTTAGGCTAATGACTAAATTATGAATTAAATAAAATTAAGAGGCCAAATTAAAATGATTATAAATTTGATTCCAGTGACTATAATATAAAATTACAAAACTAATGGACTGTGGACGGGTTTTAACTTTTAATAAATTACAAACAGACCCCTCCCCAAAACGGCGTCATTCGGGGAGGGGTATTTAAGCCCCAAACCATACGACCTTAAGGCCATTTCTCTCATTTCTCTCTTTCACTTTCTCTCTCTAACTGAGAGAGAATAGAATTCTCTCGCTTCTCTCTAGCTTCCCTCGCCGGAGGGAAGTCGACCATCGGCCGGCAGCCTTGCGCCGCCGCCAACCTTACCGCCGGCCACCGCATCCGGTGGTCGAAAAATATTATTTTTACACCAAAATGTAGATCGGACCGTCCTAATGACGGTTCCGGTATCCTTTTCCCTTAAAAAGCTCCCGATCGGAGCAAATATACAAAAATACCTTCGGTTTTCGAAGGCTTTTGGTGGCTCGTGGAGGCGCGTATGAGCTCCGATGGTGTCGCAGTTTCCTCGGTAAGGTTTCTCTATTTTTTTCTCTTTGTATTTTGGTGGTTTGATTGTGGGTTGCTCATTGTTGGTTGCTTTTTTTTCTCTGTTGCTCTCTGTCTCCTCTTGTTTGCAGGTGAGCCAAGGCTTTATAGCTTCGATGAAGCTCTCGTCGGACCGGTCCCAGAGGAATTTCTCGGTGAGTCACCAACTATGTGGTGACTTAACCCCTAGCTATGACGTGGATGGTCGTTAAGGTCTTCTGGCGAGGGCGGCAGTAGCTAGAACGTCGACGTGGGGCAGCTGGAAGCAGAGATAACTGAGGCGGCGCCGCGTGGTTACCCTATGGTATCATACCCTAGGTTTGCTGGGTATCTCTGGACCGTTGGGTCTCTCAGATCCAACGGCTATGATTTGGGGCAGCTGGATGAGATGATACAAATCTTAACTGGGTTTAAGGTTTCTTATTGGGTTTGGGCCAGTCTGTTTGGACCATTCTGGATGTAATATTGGTTTGGGCTCCAGGTTATAATTGGGCCTCTGGTTTTGGGCCTGCAATGTAAATAAAATTATTTATTTAATAA